ACACACACACACACACACACACACACACACACACACACACACACACACACAGAGAGAGACATTTACACTTTCACTCACGTTTTACAAATACACGTTTTCTGTCTGAATCTTGCAGCCTTCTCTAAACTGAAAGTTCTGCTTTTTTGTGTTGAATGAACGATACCTTCTTCTTTTACTGAATGTTTCCATCTTTTCGAGTCCAGCAAAAACAAAACCTTTCTGTTTAATAATTCTACTTCTTATGACCCTACTTTCCCTGGCCCTGTTAGTAAAGACGCTGTTTCCTCCTCTCCTGTGCTGTTCAGTTCAACATGTGTGCTACTGCCTGTCTTTATTTCTGTCTTCCCACCTCCTTTGTTCACAGGTACAGTCTCGGTTTCGTAGCCTTACGAGGTTTTAACCGTGCTTTTTGACTCTTTGCTTCTTTTTCTCTCCTTATCAAGCATTTAAAGTCGCTGCCTTACAAATTGAAGCAGGTACACCTTTGGTTTTTGTTTCGTCTCCTCTCTCTCAGCCGTTTTCTTCATCAATCACCTATCTCTCTATCCCATCTTTAACACGTTGACACCATCCAGCATGCTGTAGAAAAACACTTAAACAGACGTCACAGTCCTTAGCTTAGTGTTAGCCTAAAATGAACACTCTTCTCTGTAGACATGAACAGTAGTTAAACTCCCTGAGTGCCAACCAACGTATAAAGTTGGCATCTACTTTTGTGTACTGTGTTGTATGAGATGATGATTATTTTGTCTAACAATCACTCYCAGTCCAGCTAAGCTTGCCTTTTTTTCTCCCTCAATACCAGACACAAAGCCGGGGGGCTTAGTCTGAAGCCATGTCTTAATGGTGCTAATAGCCGGGTGGAGCCGGAGGAAAAGACGAGGAAGGGGAGGAAAAAAGAGAATGATGGTGGGGCAAGTAGGAGGCCAGCACAGGAGGTAGAGTGGGACAGAGTGAGGAAGGAAGGAAGAAACGGAGAAAAGAGGAGGAACAATAAGACAAACAGAGGGAGAGGGGAGAGTGGATGAGGTTTGGAGTTTGGAGCCAGTGGCTGGCACGCCGGCTGTGTGCGAGGCCTTAGGCAGCATCAACAGTCAACTGGTTTCAGTCACTTCAAGCCCTGCAGCATTTCTACAGTGGTGGCTGCTGCTGTGTGGCTCAGATCATCAGCTGCTCACAGACTCCAACCCATAAGTGTTGCACACACTTAATGTGCTCATATATACACAGAGGAAAAGGGATAAGAGCAGGTAACTGTGTATTTAGACAGGTTGACAGCTTTGTGTACTTTACAATCACTTTAAAACTGATAGAATTACAGTGTGGGTTTATGTTTTTGTGTATCTCACAGTAACAGGCCTGCATGTCCTTTTATTTTTTAGTTTTTGTGCCAGGAGTTGATGCCTAATCTGCACTCATCTGTGTTTTGGGAGTAACYATAACTTAATCTAACAGTGTGTGAGTCTGCCCCAATGAGCCCTGCTAAAAACTGTGTTTGTGTTTTGTTATTATTGTGTAGATATGTCCTGCGGCGCTGCTCAGCTCTTTGAGCACGGATGCAGTGTGCGAGCGTCTCAGGCAGATTGATGGAATTGACCCGAACATGTTGCTTCAGTACGCAGCCAAGATCAAAAAGGTACACGTATCTCCATTTATTTGTGTCCTTTGGAGTCACTATTTCATTTTGATAGTACTTATTTAGAACTTGTCTGTTTTCTACACTAAGAAATTCACTTGTCTCACAGGCGAATGTAAATGGCCGAGTTCTTACTCACTGCAACTTAGACGAGTTGAAGCGAGAGATGGAGATGAACTTTGGTGACTGGCAGCTCTTCAGAGGAATGGTGAGAACAAGTTCCTCCTCTAGATGATGTGAATTTACCTCCCAGCATGCTTTGGGTGTGTTTTGAACAATGATAAAAATAAAGATGTTTGTTTAACTAAAGGCTCAGACTAGTTCATTGACAGCAGCACACACCCTCCTCACTTTGTGATACTCTGCAGATGCAGTTGATGCTCAGCTTTCAATACCACATCTCATAACAAGACATCTTTCTCTGCTTTAAAATCCTGAGATGGAGATTTTATAATCTGCATTACGAGAAGCTCGCTCGTCAGGCAGCCAGGAGTTCGGTCAGCTGAGCTACAAGCTGAAATCACTAACACATGTAGCCAGCTCCACTTCAGCAAATGTCAGTCTGTGCTCCTAATACTAAAGCAGAGCCCAGGGTTGGAGGCAGTCCCCACTTAGAAGCAGCTGGAAAAACGCAGGGCCTTACAGCTCCGTGTAAAAAGCAGTGTTGTGTTGCCAGGATGCTGCGAGCACAGCCGTCTGGTTCAAGATGGCCGACTGATATCTGGATGGTTATTGTCAGGGAGGGAAGGACAGCCGAGCAGCTCCGCTTAAAGGAACTGCTCACGACCTTGTGCTTTAATTGATTCGTGTCTCGCATTCTCTGAGAAACCACTTGACATTGTTTTAAACTGACGTCAGGAGGTTTTGGTGCGAGTCAGCCAACATGAACACTGTAACCAAAGTTAAATGTCTGTTTTTGTTGGAAACTTGCTTTTTAAGGTGGTGGAACAGCGACACGCTGAAAACCAGGCAGCGCTTCAGGTCGAGTCCCGAGCCGCCAGCGAGCAAGGCAGCAGCGCTGTGCACGGGGAGCCCAGCAGACGCCAGGTAGCCCAGCACGAAACGGGACCCTTCAGCCTGAACCTGAGCTTCGAGGAACTCAGCGGAGCTGGACTGGAAGAGCCTCCGAGACGCAGCAACAACTCACACTGGCCGGTCAGTCTCTTAGTCAGGAGCTTTAAAAAGTAGTGTATAAAAACTTTATGTTTATACAAGTTACCATGCAGAAGAGATGGACAGGGTGGAGGTGAACTGCAGCATAAGAAAGTGTTACTGAAAATGGCCGCGTGTCCACTGCAGCAAAGCAACATGTCGGTGACCTCAGTGGTTTCGTATTGGTGTGACTCCGAGCGCAAAAGCAGAACAGCAGAGAAAACCTTGAGTTAGACTAAGATTAAAAATACATGCTCTATCTGCTGCTCGCTCAAAAGGTGTCATGAGGCCCGCTGTCTATTTTCACCCTTCCTGTTCTCAGTGTGCAGAATATTCTAAGACACGACACAAACTTGCATCGCAGACTGCTGACACTGCTATTTTAGATGTCTCTGTGAATCGTTTGCAGGTTATTTACCCCCAAAATATAAATTCTTATTTCTTCAGGTGATAAATCATCACACTTCAAGCATGTCCAGCCTCAACTCCCAGGAATCCTCCAACGACATCTGTAAACTGACAGACAAGCAGCAGGCGGAGTARCGCGACGCCTACAGGGAGTACATCTCTCAGATGGCCCAGCTGGACATGTCCGGCGGTGGGGGGGAGAGGCCCGTGCAGCCCCATCCCGGACAGTTCCTCCAGGCCTCCAGCTCAGAGGACAAAGGGGTGGGTGGACTGCCACAGTCAGTCAGCTTTTGATTACAGCATCACTAGAGTTGTAGCTCCAACGTCAGCGTCTTCTCTGAAACTGCTGTTTATAGGTTTTGTTTCTCRGGCCTCTCTAGTTGCAAGAGGCTGATTTTTAGCTGGGAAAATGAAGATCATTGCTTCTTGCATTTCTTAATTATTGGCTTGTACACTTTGTTTGTTTTAGCACTGCAGGGAGAAACAGGAATTCCCTCTTCAGCGGTCTCTCAGGGGCCAGCAGCACAAATTACTGTATATTTTTTTTCCTGTTCTCTTCACTGAATCCTCTTCCTTTTTTCCTCAGGCTAAAGAAGGAACAGACCAAGACAGCCGCAAAGCATTCAATAAGAGACCCTCGAAGAGCAGCGATGCCACAGATTTTGCCCCGGGCGCCGACGCTCAGCTCCTAGACCCCATCAGTGAGGAGGATGAGAAGCTGGACCACAGCTTGTCCTCGAGGACCTCAGGCTTCAGGAAGAAAGGAGTTGGACCGTTCTACCAGAAGCTATCCAATGAAGAAGACTGGGGCCTGGAAGAGGCTGACAACACCACACCGCTCCTCCACAAAGAGGCAAGAGCCAGTCTTCTGTCTTCACACCGAGTCTCACAGCCTGCTGGGCTGTCGAGCAAGCCTGGCCTCCTCTCAGACATCCTCCTGGATAAGGAGGACTCTTCGGACTTGGGGATGCGCTCCAATGATCCGTCCATGGAGGAGTCAGGACAGGCCTCAGAGAGACCGCGAGAAACACTGAAGCCCAGTTTGATTGAACTGGAGCTGGAGGGACTGGTGAAGAAGAGGGGCGCCCTCCCGAGCAGACTGAGCGACCTGCAGGAGGCCGCYGTGGCCCGCATGTCCATCTGCTCCGACGCGCCGTCTGAAGCCAGCCTGATGGCCAGCAGCCCAGATGAGGGCTGGCCCTGCGACGAGGTCAGCAACCTGAACCGCACCGCCAGCGACACCGCCCTCAACAACAACACAAGCAGCCCCGACAACACAAACACTAACAACAGCTACCAGCAAGGTAACATCACAGCCACCGAGTCCACCACCTCCTCCGCCAGCATCATCGTCTCGCCAGCTGTCATCATCACCCCCGGCAGCAGCGCCGCCAACACCCTCCACCACAACCAGAACCTGCGCACCTTCAGCCTGGGAGACGAGAGGGAGAGCGTCCTCTGAGACATCCTACCTGTGTGTGTGTGTTTATCCTGTGCACAAGCTTGCAGTTGACGTTGTAGGTATTTCGTGACGTGTTCCAAACAATAAGAGTTCATACTCGTTGTTAGGAAGAAAAAAATAAATAAAACAAAATGTAAAGCTTTAAATATTTGAATTTTTATCGTCACCAAAAATCTGTCTTGTCAAACAAAGACTTTGTAGCTTTACACTAACTTAGACGTGTGTTTAGAATGAGCTGTGTGTTGTGTGGACATTGTGTGTATATTGAACGGTAACTGTTCTGAGTAGAACTGTTTTAGTAAAAGTTAGCAACTAGGTTAAAAAAAAGTTCAGTGTTATTCAAGCCATTTGCCTCCAAACTGTGGTGCTGTTTGTCATAAAACATTTGAAATAAATTGCTGTTTAGGGTTTCTGTATTAGCAAACAAGTGGATGAAATAAACTGAGTGGGATTCGTCGTTGCTGTATGTTTTTTGGGAATCAATAAAAAAWTCACTTCATAAAATCAGTCTAAACAGCTTTTTTGTTTTTAATAAAATTGAAGTTGGACCTGTACCTTTAAAATAACTGAACTACCTAAACTGAAACTTTGTTTTTTTTTTAACAGTTGTGTTGCTTCTGTGCAGCTTATGGAAAGGATAGGAATGATGGAACGGGAGGTTGTGGCAGGACTCTTAATGACCGATAGATGGCGCACTCTTCATACAAACCTGCTGCAGGCGACGAGCAACAGAACTCAGTGGTTAGTGTTGACATGTATGAGGAGTTTAGTGACTTTTTGCACTTACTTTAATAATGTAAAACTTTTATTTGTAGTTTGTGTTTGGCAAATATTGACTCCTGGGACAGAATTACCAGATGTGTTTGCAGATTAGAGAAAGTGTTTAAAATTAATTGACATTACTGTAGATAAGCCCATATTGCCCCCATTAAACCCATCATTTTAAAGGTATCTTTCAAGTCTAGACTGATTGAGGATAAAAAGACAATTCATGTGACTTCTTGCTGTCCTTTTGAACTTAAGATCAAAAAATGCATTACACCACAACTTTTCACTTCCAGTTAAATTCCCAATATTTTCTCCTTAAGAGAAATAGTAGGCTTTAGCTTAAGTGGCCAAAACCGCCCGTTAAACCCATTTAATCCTATTTACTTTACATAGCATGTGAGAAAGTAAAAGTGCAATCAGCTTGAGCACCTTTAAAGAAGCAACCGGGGACGGTCTTAATTATTTTATATATATATATAGGTCACATATTGCAAATCTGATAACACTGTGTGTCCCTGATGTCCAACCAGCGCACTCAAAACCACACACCACGAATAAACATTTGTTCCAGCTTGTGTTTTTTTAATTTATTTTGTATAAAAAAGGTACAATTTACATTACTTTTATAAAAAGTCTCAGCATAATTAAGTACAACATTACACTTTTTGCAGAAGTTTCAAATTCCTGCAACTATACAAGATAAACTCCCGGAGAGAGTTTCACAAAGTTTTCATTTTTAGCTTTTTTTTTTTTTTTTGTTGTTGTTGTTGGTTTCTTTTACTTCACCCCCCTCTTTACATCGTCCAGTCCTACATGTGCCAACAATTCTGACAAGACAAGACTAACCTTCTTATTTTTATTTTATTTTTTTTAAACTTTTGTACAGAAACTAAAATCAGGTCGTTTTGTTTCCATACACCTCCGCAAAAAAAGCGAAGAGTTCAACAAGGACAAGGGGGTGAGGGAGGGAGGGAGGGAGGGTTTGGGGGGGAGAAAGAAGCCTCTCGGTTTTTATTTTTTTTCCTCCCAATGCTGGGAACAGAACGCGCCTTCCATTTTTTCCAGAAAGGACTTCACAAAAATAAAATAAAAAGTCTTAAATTAAATATTAACGAGGTGTCCAAAACAGAAAACACATCACATAAAGATTGTCCCACAATAAGCCAAAGAAAAGTCTCTTGATTTCTGCGTCATGATGGGAAAAAAAGAAAAAAAAAGGTCCAGGCCTGGAGGGCAGAGGCTGGAGGGACTGAGTGGAGGGGTGGGTAAAAGTCCTGCTCCTCAGGTCCTGTGTGCGCACGGGTGTATGTGTGTGTGTGTGGGTGTGTGTGTAAGAGAGAGAGAGAGAGTGTGTGTGTGTTTTGCGTCTTGACCAAACACCTGCAAAAGATTGAGAGAAAAAGAGAGAAGGCGTGTTTAGAAAATGCAAACAGGGCAGAGATCCGGACAGACTGGCGCCAGGGAGGAAGCCGCAGTTTTTTAACATTTAACCAAACACTCCCAATACTGAGCAAACCCTGCGCTCCAGATGCGCGCGCGCACACACACGCACACACACACGCACACAAACTTTCAGCCTCCAATCTGGGGAAGAATCAACGTAATTGCCGCTCAGCTGGCGCCTTCCCACTTCTTGTACCAATTATGTGCAGACATCGTAGTAGCAGTAATCCAAACAGCCATTATTTTCCTGTTGCAGATGCTCTTCATTATAGACACAAGAGGCTATAATCCACCCCTGACGACTGCTACTTGACTAAAACCCGAGCAGCAGCCCCCCCCTCCCCCCCCGGAGCGCAGAGCCCTCGCGTTCGGTCAAGAGAATCTGGCGGGCCGCGCGGTGCGCATTTTCCACAACCAAAACAAAACAAAACAAAAAACCCCGTACTGGTGAGAGAGAAGAGGGGGTGATCATTACAGCAACGTGAGACGCCAGCAGGGGGAACAAACGGTAATTCTAGCCCATAATGCTCCAGCAGACTGGGAGACAGGCTGAGGGACAGAATGCAGCAGCAGCAGACAGGAGGACAGCCTACTTACCGCTTTAACGATGCAGAGTCCGGCTGTCATCTGTCAGCAGCTCTGACGGCAGCTCCGGGGACTGAAAACAAACAAACACACAAAGCCAAAAGAAAAAATGTTAAAGTCTTTACATCCCATCAAAGGTGTTTCTCTGGTGTGCTTGTGAACAAAAGGGAGGGAGAAGAGAAAGAAAATAGAAAAAAGCCATTTTCTGTTCCCAACGAGCCATTTTGTGCGCGAGACGCGCTGCCTCTGCGCTCAGGTTATTTTTTAAAAACTGTTCAGTCTGGATGTGTGTTAAAAGTGTGTGTTCGGTGTTATTACCTGTAATGACAAGATGCTGATGTCTGTGTTGAGGGTGGTCAGGGGGGTCCTGGACGGAGTCTGCTGCCCCGTCCGCGCGGGGTGATGCAGGCTGGTGAGCGCCACGCTGGAGTCCAGCGCGATCTGCAGGTCCAGGATGTAGTCGATGACGTGCTGCAGGATTTCCATCTTGCTCACGCTCTTGTTCTGCGGGATGCTGGGCACGAGCTCCTTCAGCTTGGAGTAGCAGTCGTTCATGTTGTACAGCAGGCTGAGCGGGTCGTCCACCGGGGTCTTGCTCCGGGAGATCCCCAAGGCTGAGGAGTGCTCCGAGAAATTGGCGTTGCTTTTCCGGAAGGACCGCACGGGGCTTATTGCCTTCATCCTGTCGGCTGTTTGTTTGTTTGTTTGMTTTTTTTCGGCTTCGATGAGTCTCTTCCGTGTCTCGTTTAAGTCCTYGGTTTGGTTGGACGATCAGCGATCAGACTGGATTATCGAGCTGTCAGTGTGCTTTATATAGGAAACGGCCTGCGCTCGTGACACGGGCGGACCGAACGCGCTCATTGGGAGCGGCCAAAGAGTCGCTCAACGCCTTCCTCCCTTTCGGATAGGCTCATCTGGCCCAAACCCCGCCCCTCATTCACCACGTTACCAGTGGCAACGCTTGTTGGAGGCAGGGCGCTCCAGCAGCTCCGGTGGGCAATTTGGAAAATTAAACCCTTACCTGTTTCTGATCAAGAAAATTAATGATGCACGTTTTTACGCACGCCTGCACGTTAGACCCTACAACTTCACAGCGTTTACAAATATTTACTAAAAGCTCAAAAGTCGAGGTGTCAATATAAATTAGGACAATCTGAAGTTTATCTTGTGGATAAGACATTGACATGCGCTCCTGATTTTATTTGTTGTTCTGAACTAGGCGCGTGTCTGATCACCCTTAATTCAAATGAGCCCGAATCCGGTGTGAGGACACATGAAAAGTGTTGAGTGAAGAATTAAAAGAAAAAAAAAACGGACCCATGAGCGCGCGCACAGGTGAGAGAGAAATCCCCCCAACAGAAATTTATCATATAAGTAAGGATTTTATGGTTACGCACCTTTTTCTGCAATAAGTYTTGGCGCAAAGAGCCTCTCCAACCCAGTCTTAAATTGGTGATATGCGCAAAACAATCTGCAACAAATGGCYTTTTGAAAAGTTTTGCACATCTTGTATTGATTATAAAAACTGACCAAAATAAAGGAAAAAAGTTATTAAAACAAACCGATACTTTTTTATTTGTATTTTTTCATTTGTCGGAATTACGCGCATCATTCCTCTCATGGAGTTGACATTTTCCACTAATAAATGGGCTTAGAAGCAGGTGAAAGCTGTTGGGGATGCTCTAATATTAATTTTATTTGGTTTTATAAAAAAAAAAGCTATATATTGAAAAAAATGTGTTTTTTTTTAAAGGAGTTGGCTGAAAATGGTGAAGTTTTGAATTTTAAAACAGTTAACAGTGTAGAAAAACTACACAATTAGGATACATAAACTGTAGTGATTTATTTTTCCTTWTGGTGATTTCAGGTCTACGAACAGTGGAAACCAGATCGATGTTTTGCAGGATGTTTGTGTTTATTTTAAAATATCCAGTAAAAAAAAAAAAAACACCATCTGTGCCACTGTTTTTACGCGTGGTTCTCTTCTCCTTCCGCTGTGCGTTTTTATACATTTCTAATATGATGTGAAACTCCCGCAGTCTGTGTCCACATCTGGCGCGAGAGAATGTTTCCATTTTCTCCCCTTCTTCCCGTCGCTCCCACAGCTGTGGACCCATCCCTGACTGATGCCTGACAGACTGCTGATGAATTGGCGCAAGAGCACGTCGGTGCGGATCTGAGCGCCCCACCGGCAGCAGCAGCAGCAGCCTCTCATCTTCTTCTTCACTCCTCCTCCTCCCCTCTCTCTCTCTCTCTCTCTCTCTCTCTCTCTCTCTCTCTCTCTCTCTCTCTGGAGCAGACTCTCTGGCGCCGTGACGTCAGCTCATTCACAGCAGCCCTCGAGCCAAGCCCTCGCGGCGCCGCCGAGGCGGTTTCCATGGAGACGGGGTTTCGGGGATGGGAATGGAAGGCGGTCCTCAGCTGATCCACCCGCAGGGAGGTGCGGCCCGGGCCGGAGGAGTGTCTGAGGGGGGACGGGTTTGGGGGGGTCTCTGCGGGATTCTCCCTGTTTGGTGGTGCATTCAGGGACCAGCGGAATTTCTCAAGCTCAAATGCTAAAACACCAGCAGTGGTATTCGGGCCTGACTCTTTCTGACACCTAATCTGCTGCACCCTCAGGTAAAAAAAAAAAATTCAACTATTTTTATTTGAAAAATAAAATAATACAACAAGCAACCTAGGATAATAGTGTAAAACATRTTGGATTATTTCAGCTCTATTAATGCTGCCATAGATGAAAAGAGGATAATGTTTTTACCCGTGTTAGCGAAATATCTCAAATACACCTGGACAGATTTAAAAAAAAAACCTCAGTAAGTAATCAACAGATGTACTTCTACAACTGAATATCTTTTGCAGTCATCCCAATTTAAGACGGCCGCAGCAGCAAAGCAGTCTCAACAAACACATAAATGACTATAACTCTGTCAATTTTTACAGTTAATGAAATTAAAATTGGTGTGGTAGTAGCTGAGAGTTATCTGCAACTTGTGCATTAGACAGTAGCTGATTTCGCAATAGATTTGTGTTTAAAACTTTGCCAAATTGGCAACTGTGTCTTGMCTGTTAGCAAAATTTCTCACAAACCACTGCATGGATCTTAATGAAACTTCAGGGATTGATTACAGCTGATTAACTTTAGTCACGACCCAATTCAAAAATGGTCTTCACAGCCAATCGAGTCAGTTTTAGAAGCAGTGAGCTAAAATTTGGTATAGCTACTAGTTGAGAATCACTTTCCATGCATCCTACAAATCATGCAAGGTTTCTCAGTTTTCTATGAGATTGTACAGAGAGTTATAAGGTTAAAKAAAACTGGCTATAGATGTTCTCTAGATAACGTTATTTTATTTGGAAATATTGCATGAACGGCGGAGGGTGATATGCATTCCTTCAAGAAATACCAAACCCTTCTCATCAGCACCCTASCTGCAGTGGTTTCTCCTGTGTTTGAGTGGGAAATGATTAACCATCACTGAGCCTTGCAAACTTTTTGAAATGTTAGAGCAAACATTTTAACTTTAATCCCAGTTTATTGTATATCTATAGGATCTAAAAGCCATTGACAGCAGACCAAAAAATAAAAAAACTAAACAAAAACTAAACATGATAATCCCCCCTGCTCTCAGCTGGAGGCGGGGGACAAAGCGGAGCTGCTGGCCGGCCTCTGAGCCCCCTCAGCCCGGCGTCTTCCTGCCTGCTTTATGAGCTCATGTGTCTGCTGTCTCTTCATGACCAAGTTAATTAAGAGTTTTGAAATAGTCAATATTTGTAATAAAACGATTTTCTAATTTTGATGATAAAAAAACTCAAACCAAAATAATATTAATAAAATAAATACATTAAAAAATAAGAAACTTATAAATAAAATAAAACGCCCACCTAATAAAAACACAACAGAGACAAAAATCCACTTCAGCCACAATCCTTCGCCATCATCAGAACAGAGTCTCATATTTTGCTTTGGTTCAGCAGAACTGTTCTTTCTCTGTCCTTCGGGTTGCCACATGCCTGTCCTGTGGAGGAGTGTTCATGTCTCCCAGAGGCACAGTGTGGACCCCCGGGCGGGCGGGGCTTGTTATCATGCACCCCTAAACATCAGTAGTGTGTTGAGTTCATGAACAACAGGGTTAAATGAAAGAAAAAAAATAGTTAAAGGGATAGTCTGGTGATTTTTGAKGTGATGTTCTGTCAAATATTAAAAGCAAATACCTAATGAGCAGTGATGTCATTCACAGAGCAAACAAAACTAAACTAAACTAAACAAAACAGACAAAAAACAATAAACAACCTTTTTTGATTAACCAAATGAAACATTTTATGCAAATTGTTTAATTAAACTAATGTAGCATTCTTTTACATCAGATTAGCATTTTTGAGTAGTTTTATAAGCCAGTTTGGTTAGCCGTTAGCTTAACCTGCATAGACAAACTGTGCTCTAGTGATGTGAGTGCTCATAAGGCACCGACTACTGATAACTATTTGACAGAACATRACTTTGAAAATCCTTTCAGATGTAAAATATTCAAACAAAATCATTTTTCTCCTTATCAAAAGAGAAACRCAGTCAAGGTAAATTGGGACTTGACCAGTTTTTGGACCTTGACTAGAACACATCTGGTCTCTTTGTGCCTGTCCTCACTCTGTCCTGAGGTCCAGATGGGTCTCTCTCTGCTCTCTGAGCAACAGCCATGCAGGGCCTGGCTCCGCTGTCACGTGAGAGGCAGCAGCAGGAGCAGATCGAAGCGCTGCCMGGGAGGATGGGGGGAGATGAGGAGGCCAGATTGGACGGAGAGACAAAAGACACGATGGCTGCCTGAGTGCCTTCCAGGCTGGTCATGGAGTGGCCACTCCAAACCTCCCTGGACCTCCTCCTCCTCCTCCTCCTCCCTACAACACACAGCTGGCTGCGGGAGGTGAGACAGGAGGAATGGAGGAGGATGCTAGCCGCCGTGTGAAAAATTCCCGCAACTAGTCGATGAAAATAGTTCAAACTCCTCTTACTTCCTCAGAGTTCAGCTCACTCAGATCAGTTGGACATGTGTGACAACCAGTTGGCAATGTGGAAAAGTTGGCTGGAGTGTAACTTTAGAGCAATATTGCCCGTTGGCACGCAATCACACGTTAACATAGCTGTTTCGCCCACCTATCACTGCGGCACAGCTGTCACTGCAGCGAGTAGTCTGTGCCCCCGTAATCAGATATCTGCATATCTCCGTTTCCACACAGGGAGTAGGACTGTGCGGATCCTAGTCGGAGGATGATTGTGGAAATCAAATTTTCTGCGCAGAGGTGAGGTGATGTTTGGGCGTATATTAGAAGTTGGGATGGCTTATCTGTCAGAGAGCCGTGTTACAGAGCACTGCCAGTGTCAACACCATGGTTTTAATGACCTCTCAGTCAGATGCTGTTGGGATGGATCAGGTGCAGGCAGTAATAGTGTAACGTCACCTGATGCAGAAAGGTCAATGAGTGCAGCGATGAACCTGGTGTTCAAATCCCAGGCTGCAGTTTTTCAGSTTCCTCTATTCCAAGGGGAATTGAGAKTTWTTGTYAGAGACCTGAAACTAGTTTCTGARACCACTGAGCTCTCAGACTTCTTGGATTCTGTGGTTACACAGTGCTGCGGGTCCAACAGTCYCTCTGTTGAGTCCACGTTCGAAGAGCTGTGGTTCGGCACATTTCTATCTCAACGCATTTGATTTTCTAGAAACTTTGACAATCCTGAGGAGCAAACTGTGATGATAAAAACATGGCAAAAATTGTGAAGGAGAAAAA